TTAATGAATACTATCAACTTGATGTTTTAAACAGGTGATCTGCCTGTAAATTAAGATATTTGTTGTCACAAATGTCTCAAACCACCAAAACAGGGGTTAGCTGTCTGTAGGGCAATACAGACAGGGAGGGCTTAGAGAATGGATTGCTTCATTCAGTCTTTCTTGAAACCACTGATTCCTAACACCACAGTCTAATGTGATTACCTGCTACTGGCTCCTCTCCTCCATTATATAGTGGGCTTGGAAGGCAGGGCTGATGTCTGCCTTGTTCTCTATCTCCAGTGCTTACACAGTGCCTGGCACATAGTAGGTGCCCCTCAAATATGTTTTGAAAGATAAAAAGGGTGTGATCCCACATATTTAGTATTTGACTCCCCAAAGGAGTCAGTTTGCCTCTAAATCTCCTCACCAGCTTCTTGGGTCCTGCAAGAGTTCCAAGCTCTGGAAAGATCCTTCCCCTTTTCTCACTCTGCAATCTCTTAAGTGTCTGGGATTTCTCGCCTGGTGTTGCTTTTCTTTTGGTGAGGCGTGGGGAGCACACACCCAGACATGTCTGCCCTCAGACTGGCTTACAAATCCCAGCTGGAATGAAGAACAGTTGCTTCGGGGTCTGGGAAGGGCTCCAGGCTCACAGATTTTGCCCACCAAGTGCTCCTGCCTCCCCTCACCCCTATCAAGGTGCTGTGCATTCTGAGTTTCCCTGGACTGTGATTTGGCTCAAGTGGCCAGGGGTCAGAGAAGAGAGATTTCCAAGGTCTTGCTTCCTCTAAGGACCCCTCATATTCCCATGTCTACAAAATCATCAATTTTGAAATGTTTCCTTCCCCAAGGTCATAAGGAGGGGCCCCTGGGGGCGCTGGCAATGTTTTATTTCTTGACCTGGGATGGTAGTTATAGGACCTCATAATAATTCATTAAAACATACCTTAATGTTCTACTTTTCTGAATGTGTATTATATTTCAAAATAAAAAAGACAAAGGAAAAAAAAAAAAAAGAAGAAAGCCCCCCACCAAGTCCTAAATCCTATCAATTCATGCTTAACTAGTGATTATCCGCAGCCAGCTGGAGATTCTTGTCCTCAAGGAATTTCCTAGAGGAAGCAAAATAACTGAATCTAGCCCTGAATTATATCTGGAAAATAGGCCATGCTGTCATTATTTTGAGGAAGAGTCCAGAGGTCAAACTGGTGGGACTCAAACTGGGTCAGAAAATATAGGTGGCATTTAGTGGTGGAGAGAGGCAGAGGAGGGAGTTTTAGCCTGTGGCAAGGTATGAGCAAGGTATTAGTTGGTGGGGGCAATGAAGAGGTACTGAATAGTTTATGGGAGTAAGATAGTTTACCCCCCACCCCAGCCCCAAGCACAGGCAAGGGGGATGCCACTTAGAACAAAAGCCTGCCTCTTTGGGGTGGAGGGGTCTGGATCCTTGGATAAAAGCAGACGTGCGTGTTTTTCATTTTTGTTTTGTTTTGTTTTGTTGTTTTACTCAAGTCACTGGCCCATGTGGGCTCCTAATCCCCATCTCAGACAGACTGGAAATCACATCTGCCGGACACATTATATGGGTACCCACATTCCTGCAGAGACACTTGCTCAAGCCCTGACTTTAACCTGCCCCTGGCCCCACCCCTGCAGCTGCTGTCTAGTGCCAGTGCTGATGGCTGCTTGGAAGTGGGAGTGCACAGAGGAGACAGGACCTGGGCTGCAGATTCAGAGAGGTGTTATGTGACAGGCTAAGATGACTCCACCCTACCCCCAGCTTGTGAACCCTGGAATTCGGAGACTTCACAAACCATCACCATGGCCAGCCATCTGATACTGGGAGAAGGTACATGAAGTATTGGGAGGTCCCCAACCTCCAGGCAGGGCTATGTAGTTTATAAGAGGTAAGACTAAGATGTGTTTCTATTTGCTCAAGGGAGTGAGAATCAAATCAGGCACAGGTACTCTGTATGCACAAAGGGTACTATGCTGAGGATGAGGCCTAGCACAGAGAAGAACTGGTATTAATAGTGGTAATGGTATTAACAATTACCAAGCACAAATATTTACTAGATGCCTTGTAATATGCTAATATTCCCTTCCTTTATTTAATCCTCACAATAATCCTATGTTGTGGGTGCTATTATTGCCATGTGCAAAAAGGAAACTGAGGGGCCGCCCTGGTGGCGCAGCGGTTGAGTGCTGGGTTGCGAACCAGCCCGCAGCCTCTGCAGCGCCAGTTCGATCCATGGCCACGGGCCACCGGTGAGGGTCCCACATGGTGCGCAGACCTCTCCTGCCGCCCGCTGCTACCCTCAGCGGTGTACTTCGTCAGTCTGCCTGTTCTGCTCGCTGCTCTGGCTCTGGTGAATTCTCTCACCCTCCTGCACTTCTGACTGTACCCAGTATTTGTATAAATAAATAAATAAATCTTTAAAAAAAAAAAAGGAAACTGAGGCTTCAAGGGGTAAACTGAATGACCAAAGTTAGGTAAATGCTAAGCGCAGAACTAGGATCTGAATGCCCCCATTCTGACTCTGGAATCCACACGGTGAAAGCCCTCTCCGGGCATGAAGAAGATGTCATCCCTTACCAGTTGGAGCACTCCAGTCCCCATGGTGGGTGTGGTCCTCTTAAAGACCATCTGGTAAATTGTGCTTCCTCTGATTTCTCATTAAACAGTCTTTGGTTGACTTCCCATGCAACTCACACACAGAAAAAGAAGGCCATGACCTGCCAATATGACAGCTGTATTTTTCATCAGTAAGTTAATAATCTGGCTGTCTGGGTTCACCCATGTATCTGTTTCTGTGGGCTTAGTTAAGGTGAGCCCACCCCTGGGCTGAAGCCCATTGGATGCCAACTTAATTGAAATGCTGAGCATATGAGGATAGCCCCCTGACATGGCCTGTGTGCCAAGGAAATCCCTCCTGGCGTTCCCTTGGCGGACTTGGCCAGCGTTCTCAGTGACAGCCTGACAGTCTGGAATCAAGCTGCCCAGTCAGGCTACAAGGGTCGTGTGCAGAAAGAAGGAAGCGACAATGCCAGGTTCCAGTGGGTGTTCCAAATTCCACATTCTGCTTGCAGACTCCTGGCGCCAGAGCAAAGGCCGTCCCTTGGCAGGGGACCTGTGAGGGTTCATCTGGTACATTCTCCCCTCTTCAGAGTGTCTGGGGCTTTCTGGTTCCCCAATTCACTCTGCTTTTATTGACAGTGCCCCCCAAATCTGGTCACTAGCAGGTTTATCCAGGAAGCCTTAAAAAAAAAAAAAATTTAATTAACTTATCTTGTTTAGGAGCAAAAAGTGTTTTGCTCTGTTTACGAAAGTGTAGTTTTTAAAAACTATATCCTAAAATAACAGGAATGTTTGGGCTAAACTATTTTCTTTTTGATTTCTAGTTACAGTTTGTAAGACTGAACCCCAAATCTTGGAATTCGTCATAAACAGTGGGTTGTTTTTCCAACAAGTTTGGTGAGTAGAACATCTTTCTGGGACAACAGTTTTTGTTTTTGTTTTTTTTTTTAAATTGTGGTAAAAAACACGTATCATGAGCTCTGTACTCTTAACAAATTATGAAGTGTACAATAGAATTTTGTTAACTCTATGTACAGTTGGTATAGCAGATCTTTAGAACTTTTTCACCTTGCATGGCTGAAATGCTCTACTCATTGAACAGCAATTCCCCAAGCCCTTCTCCCTCAGCTCCTGGCAACTACCATTTTACTTTCTGCTTCTATGAATTTCACTACTTCAGATGACCCCATTTAAGTGGAGTCATGTAGTATTTATTTGTGACAGTTTATTTTACTTAACATAATGATGTAGCATATGACAGGATTTCCTGTCAAAATAAAATACCACTCTGGAATAGCCAACATTTTCTTTATCCCATCAACTGCTAAGGACCACTTAGGTTGTTTCCATTTTTGGCAATTGCAATTAATGTTGTAATGAACCTGAGAGAGAAAATATCTTTTCGAACTCCTGTTTCCAATTCATTTGAATAAATACTCAGAAGTGGAGTTTTTGATTTTGGATATGGTGTAAGATAATGATTCAATAGCATCCTTTTGCTTGTGAATGACCATTAATTCTTCAGATAAACTTTCTGCCCCTTTCTTTCCTTCTTCTCCTTGTAGGACCCCTATAATACATACCCACCAGGCTTTCTTCACTCTTTTTATTTCCTTCTCTTACCTGAAAGTTTCAAACAACCTGTCTTCAAGTTTGCTTATTCTTTTTACTTATATCATTGAGTCTGCTGTGGAAACCCTCTAATGGATTTTTAAATCTTACTATTTTATTCTTTAACTCCAAAATTTTTTTTTGATTCTTTTAAACAAATCTTCTGTTTTGCTGCCAGTTTTATTTTATTGAGTACCCCAGGGAAACTTCTAAAGATATGGATTCCCAGGCCCTACTGGCAAAGATTATGATTCAGTAGGCTGGAGAGGGGCCTGGAAAACTGTGTTTCTGAAAGATTCAGATGTTCATATCGCTCTGGAAACCACTTCTAGTGAAAGACTCCCTTTAGCCCATTCCACTTCCCAGTTCTACCCAAGAGGTGACCATCATTATGCCTCTATGTCATATGAGGACTCTTCAAACTCTTCTGCCTCCATCATCCTTCCTAGATTGAATCCTGATTATAAGTTTTTCATGATGTACCCAAATCTTTCCAACCCAAAGTGTGCTTACAGTTTCCATTTGTATATTAGCTTGGCATTTCTATTCTGTTGGCTTACAATACGAGTCTTGAACCACCACTGATTGGAAAACTCCTGGTCTAGGTCGCTTTAATTGTCTCACTATCATTTGATGACAAAAAAGGTGGTGAGTGTGTAAGGGCACAACTCCAGGAATCTTGGTAAGCCTTTGCTCTTCTAGGGTATGATCTTGGACAACTTGCTTTCCCTCTCTGGGCCTCATCTGTGAAATGAGTGGTGAGTAGATGGTCTCCATGAGCCTTCCCTTTAGACTTTGACTCCTCCCTCTCCTTATGCACCCCACAGCTGAGGAAACTGAACTCCAGAGACACTCCTGAAATTGTTGTAAGTTGAAGGAACCAGAGTCCACAAGTTCTCCCTCCACCTCCCTTTTCAGCAACAGCCATGGCCCTGAATGATGTTGATGTACAGAAGCAGATTAAGCACATGATGGCTTTCATTGAGCAGGAAGCCAACGAGAAGACAGAAGAAATAGATGCAAAAGCTGAAGAAGAGTTCAACATTGAGAAAGGACGGCTTGTGCAAACCCAACGACTGAAGATAATGGAATATTATGAAAAGAAAGAGAAGCAGATAGAACAGCAGAAGAAAATCCAGATGTCCACCCTGAGGAACCAAGCAAGGCTTAAAGTTCTGATTGCCCGAAATGACCTCATCTCAGAGTTGCTGCATGATGCAAAACTGAGACTCAGCAGGATTGTGGCAGACCCAGAAAGGTACCAGGAGTTACTGGATAAACTAGTATTGCAGGGTCTGCTCCGATTGCTGGAACCCATTGTGATTATACGCTGCAGGCCTCAGGACCTCCTTCCAGTGGAGGCTGCAGTGCAAAAAGCTATCCCTGAATACATGATAATCTCCCAAAAATATGTGGAAGTCCAAGTTGATCAAGAGGTGTACTTGGCTACAAATGCAGCTGGAGGTGTGGACATGTACAGTGGAGATCAGAGAATAAAAGTTTCCAATACTTTGGAAAGTAGACTGGATCTCTTAGCCCAGCAAAAGATGCCAGACATACGAAAAGCCTTGTTTGGTGCCAATGCCAACAGGAAGTTTTTTATATAGCCTCTGGAAAGTAAAGCTCCTATCTGGGCCTCATCTGTGAAATGAGTGTGGGGCACATGTGCCTGATCAGCATAAATTATTTGGGCAATGGAAACCAGCAATATTTCCTCCTATTTGTTGCTCTAATATTATTCTGTCTTCTTTCACGACATATCCTTTAAATTATAGACATTATACTTTAGATCTGACTTAATGCTTAGAAATCTAATTCAACTCCACTCATATATACCACAACTTCTGATCAGTTCTGAAATTTGGGTTGAAGGGGTCTTCAGGTGAGATGTGGATGGAATTCTTGGTCTATAGGTGAGTGCTCAAAATTTCTTTAATATGTATGTCAAGTGTGTTTTCTTCTGTTTCAGCTCCTTGTACTTATGTTACCTAAAGAGGTTTAAAGATCTTCCTCATGTGCATGGGGCCAACTTCCCCGGCAGGTGACCAGTGCAGTCATAACAGGGTCCATGCACAGATAGTCACTGTTCTATAGTCACTGCCTTGAAATTCTAATTTTAAATGTGGGTTTTAAGAATGAAACCAATGGGATTTGGGGGCATAAACCAGGGAGTTGGCTCCTTGGCTCCCCAAACCTATCTGCCTCCCTGAAATGTGTTCTTAGTCACCCACATCGCAGCTGCCTGGCACAGGGTCTTGCTGATTGTTGGCACTGAGAAAATGTTGAGGGAAACCCCCTCCCCGCACCCCTCCCCCTTCCCGGTGAGGATTCAGCCTCACCTTTATTTACTGTCAGCTGCCCTTTCTACCCACCTTTTTAGACAGGGTTCCTTGGAGATAGGGACTGTGCCTTTATTCCATGCTGTCTTGCTGTTTGCCCATTGACTTGGGGCCTGCACCTAGTAGGTTCTGAACAGGTTTCCAGGCTGTTACCTCATTTTCCCTATGCTGCTCTGGTTTCTGGGTGGAAACTTCTGAGATCTGTCTTCTCTTCCACCCATAGGTTGCACTGTAGGAAAGGACACTTACGAGATGGTCAGGAGAAGGGGGCCCTCACTGTAGCCAGGGGTCCTTCTTGACAAGAAAATCTTTTTCCTTTGCTCCCAGGGTGGGAGAGTGAAGCAGGAGAGGAGTTGGAGGAGCCTGAACTCAAGGCAGGAACCAAGTCCAGGGTGTTGTTACCTCCTGGGTAAGCCTGGGGGGTTATCGTGTCCCTTCCCTCCTGGGAAACAGATGGAAAGGGCTTTGCTTTGGACATGGGTGCAAAGGTAGGAGCTGTGAGGAAGTCGGGTCTTCTTGCAGCCCCTCAGCCATGGGTGAGGCAAACCTTGGCCCTCAAGTTTCTGTCATTCCACCAGCCCACGCCCCAAGCCCTGACCCGTGGCCGGCTACTGGGCATTATCCTTCAGATCTGACAGCTGCTCTCCTTTGGGGGTGCTTGCTTTAGAAATGGAGCAGTGGGCACATTGACAGGCAAACTTGCATGCTCTCTTTCCAGGCGTACTGTCCTACCCTCAAGGTGTGTTGCTCATGTAAACTCCTTAGTCCCTTAGAGCTGAAAAAGCCAAAAGGAGAAAACTGTTACAACCACAGGCAGGCACAGACTTCCCCTCATTCTCCTCATTAACACTTCCTCCGGAGGTGCAAGGGAAACTGTTTGGAGCTGATGCAGACAGGAGTTTTTGCTCAAGGCAAGCTGCTTCTGTAGGCTCACTCCCTGCTGGACGAAGCCTTGGGAAACCTGAGCGCCCAAGTCAGGTCCTGCTCCTCACTGCACCCCAGGAATCCTGCTGGCAGGTAATGGGTAAATGAAGTAGATCAGGCCTCTGTGGCTATCACCTTTGTCCTTGATCATGTTAAGGTAGAAGGCGCTGGGTGTGGGGCACGTGTGCCTGATTATGGACACCTGAGCATAGGTGTGTGTGCATGTGCAAGTGTGCACACCTGTGCCTAGGAGGGAGGGGATAAAAGGGCAACATCACCCTGAGGCTAAGGGGCTCAAATTGCTGTCTCCCTGCTGGCTTGTTTTTCATGCTGACCTGTGAAAATGATGCCAAGCGCTCAAAAATTCTCTTTGAAATCAGTAGAATCAAAGATGGTGAATCTATCCAGTCTGGGATGGTTGCAAAACAGTGGGGTCACTTGAAGGAGGAAGAATTGGTTCTGGCCTGTGATCACATGGCCGGACCCCAAAGAAGGCAGGAAGGCTAGACCTGCACTACAGAAAATGCTACAGGGCTTTCATTCTGCTGTTGGGGTCCCAGGACCCCAGGAAGTGGGTCAGAAGGACTATTCAGTGCCCAGCCCTAGCCCCCATGCCTCTGGGAGTATGTGCAGCCTCTTGCTAAGGTGGGAGAGGAGAGGGGAAATGCTCATCCTTGTCTCTTCCTTGCTAGCCTCAGTATTCTCCCCTGTACCCTTTCATTACCTCATCTCTGAAATCCTGCCTGTTACTGACAGCCCTGGGAGAAGATCCAATCCTTCCTCCCACCCCACCTCCCTATACTCTGAAAATAGGAGAAACCCTCATCTCATAGCACCCCAGGTCTTCCTGCACAAACGGACCACTCGCCCCTTCCTGCGGGACAGCACACGTCACATGGAGCAAACTGTCACTGCCTTCTGCAGATGCAGCAGAAAGGGATCCCAAGCTCCCCCAGAAGCAGTCCTGGCTAATCCTCCTGGCCACACCCCAGGGCCAGCTTACCACACTCCCCTGAAAAGGCCAGGGGTCATTCATTTTATGCACTTACTGTATAGAAGCTCCAGAACCTTGGGCTCCAGCAAGACACTAGCAGGTGAATAGACACAGGTGTCTTCTTGGAGAATTCCTTATTTCTTTCTCAGGGTGTCTCACCTCAGGGCTCTGTCACATTAAAGGCCCACAGAGAAGGGGTGTCAATGGGTGAATGCATGAGGGATTTGACTTGAGGGGTCCCAGGGAAAGACTTGGGGCTCTCTGTGAGGTCAGGACACTGGGGGCAGATTGGGGAGTAGAGTAAGTAGGAGGAATGTAGGTCCAACGTACAATAGCTGGCCTAGAGTCCAGAGTCGGGCAAAGAGCAAGTGCCAAGGAAACTGTGTGAAGGATGGAGGGAGGGAGGCAGAGAGGGGAAAGTAGAAGCGTGATCTGCTGGGACTCCGTTGGAAGAAGGGGAATAGTAGAAAATACTTGATAATTCTTGTCCTTCCTTGTTTGGAATTTAAACCCTGGTTTTTCACGCAGTTAAATCCAAATCAGCAAACATATTCATTCATTCATTCTGCAAATATTTACTGAATGGTTACCAAGTGCTAGGAGCTCTGCCAGGCAGGGCATCACTTGCAGTGAACTGGATAGTTAAGGTCCCAGGTTTCACAAAGGAGCATTCTAATGTGTGTGTGTGTGGGGGGGGGGACATGCAGGCTCAGGAGAGGGGGACACTCACTAAACAAGTAGACAATGGATGGTTCTGGGTTGATCTCAGTGCTATGGAGAAGTAAAGAGCTTTGTGTAGCCAGGCCTCCCATGACCCTGGCTCAAGCAGGCCCAGTTTTCTAAAAGAATCTAAGAGCCAGCCATGCACTCAGCAGAGGGCGAGGGTGGGAGCCGGCAGAAGGGGAGGGTGTTCTGAGTAGCTAGAACCACAGGTGTAAGGAAGATGTAGCTGGGCTTGAAGGTCAGAGAGGTTTCCCTAACTGAAGGGGCAAGGGAAGGGGCAGGGCCAGATCATACTGGGTCTCACTGGTAGCATTTAAGGTATCTGGATTTATTTTCAGAACAATGGGAAGCCCCTGAGGGCTTGTAAGCAAGAAAGGGGCCTGACCTCATTTTACTTTGTGGCAATTTCTTCCTTTCTTTCTTTCTTTTTTTTAAGGATTTATTTATTTATGCATACAATAACTGGGATGTAGGCCAGAAGTGCGGTGGGGCTGCAGTGAGAGGATTCACCAGACACAGAATTGGGAACAGAACAGGCAGACCGACTAAAACACACTGCTGAGGGGAGAAGCAGGCTAGACAGGAGATATCTGCTGCGCCATGTGGGCAGCTCCCTGGCTGGCAGGAGATGGCCAGGTATTGAACTCATGCTGCTGAGGCTGCAGATAGCTTCACAGGGAGATAGCTGTGCTTAACCACCTGCACCAGCAGGAGGGCCCTTTGTGGCAATTTCTTTGATGGATACCAGGAACATAGCATGCCTCTCCTTTGCTAAAAGGAGATCCCTCTCCCCCTCAGAAATAGAAAGCAATCCCAGTCATCAGCCAACTCAGACTAATGGACTTTGTACATGACACTTGCCACCAACCCCCAGAAGCCCTCTGTAAATAGCATTTGTGGCCAACAACATCACCTTTTCTTGTACCTTTGTCTTCAGTAGCAGGAGCTGCTAACATTCAGGTATTCCATGGTTTCACCCAAGGTGGGAACAAAAATTTAGATGCATCATTTAAAGAAATCATCCTATCCAAACATTTTCACCTCCTGTTCTCCTTATTAGGGACCCTCCCCTGCCAACAGGATTGGTAAACCTGGGCTGAGCTCCTCCTCTTAACTTTTTGTGCAATTCCCAGACCCAGGGAAACTTCTGATGTTCTCTTAGCTCTTTGTGCCCTGCTCATCTTTTTAGGGCACTCAAGCCCTGACTTTCCCCCCCCTTCTAGAAACTTTCTCCCACCGGACTCTGCAATCTTTGGACTTGGACATGCCCTGGGACTCTTGGTCTACCGATTTGTTTCATGTCCTTGGAGTTTGGGTTTATTACCCTGTGAGGAAATGGCCTTCTTGCCTGTGACTTCCCAGATTTTTCCTTCTTTGAGCAATGGGAGTCACCTCGTACCCAAAGGGGGTGGAACTGGACATAGGATATTGGCTCTGGCCCCATAGAATAGAAAGATCTGGTAAGCAGGGGTGGCACTGGGTATTTTTTGAAGGAGTCATGGTTCACCTTTGGCTCATTCCTTTGGGCTTCACCATGGGCTCATTCCTACTATCGTTGGCTGTTGTTTGACCCTAGTAAGTCACAGCTCCCTCTGTAGTCAGACAAGGGCTCAAGTTCCCTGGGGTGGCTCAGCTCCCCCAGCTTCTTATTACTGGTTTAACCTATTATCCATGACTTTGGCCTCTTCTGATTTCTTTCCAGGCTTGCTTCACTGGTGCCTACCTGGTTTGCAGCTGGCCATAGATCAATACTGGCCTGGCGTCCCTGTTCCTCCCATGGAGGCTGTGGGCAGGCTTGTACCCTAAAGTGTATGGGGGTTTCAGGAACAGTAAATTGTAAGTCTATTGGCCTCTCCTCCATCAGAGGGCAAGGCATGTTTCCAAAGAGGCTGCATTTGGGGACAAGGGTGACTGTGTGTTTGGGTATGGGTGG